TTGTTCAACGTGTCCGAATCGCCAGTACTGTCATATTTTTTGAAAATGTCATGTTTTACTCTCCTGAGTCGTCTCCGTCTGATTTCCTTCTGGCCAATCTTCCTCCTCCCACGTTTGCTGACGAAGTTGATGATGACTTTATCCCTGCTGTGGATCCACCCGATCCTCCCTCACCAGATCTGTCTCCCGCCACATCAGCTGCTGCCTCGCCATCACCTGCTGCAACTCCACCATCGCCTATCACTCTCGGCTCCGGCACTCACTCCTCGGCCAGCTCACATACCACCAGCGACATCAGTTCCCCTTCCAGTGGCCCGACTAGTCTCTCTTCTAGCGTCCCAAGTTCATCTTCTCATGCCACACAGCCAGCTCCACGTCGTTCAGAACGGGTAAACAAAGGAGTTCCTCCACCGAAATTTGGTGACTACCTAACATATGGAGTGGAGTCGATAGCTATTCCGACTCGCTATCGTCAGGCCAAGGGCCATCCTTTGTGGAAAGCTGCTATGCATCGGGAATTAGAGGCGCTTCATGCAAGTAATACGTGGACTCTAGTTCCTCGTCCACCTTCTTCTACTTCAGTGGTCGGCTGTCGTTGGGTCTATACTGTCAGAATGAAACCGGATGGTACGGTGGATCGGTATAAGGCACGGCTGGTTGCTCAGGGATTTACTCAGGAATATGGCATCGACTACAGTGAGACGTTCGCACCGGTTGCTAAGATGACTACAGTCCGTACTTTATTGTCTGTTGCTTCCCTTCGTCAGTGGCCCTTATATCAGATGGATGTCAAGAATGCCTTTCTTCACGGTGACTTAGATGAAGTAATTTACATGGAATCACCTCCCGGGTATTCGCTTGCTTCTCCTGATCAGGTTTGTCGGCTTAATCGCTCCTTGTACGGTCTCAAACAAGCACCCCGTGCTTGGTTTGAGAAATTTCATACCACTATCTCCGACTTGGGTTTTCAGCAGAGTCACAACGACCCATCTTTGTTTACTCGCACTACATCAGCTGGGGTTGTTGCTCTTCTCTTGTACATCGATGATATGGTGATCACGGGATCTGACCATGAGGGCATTCAGCGGCTTAAGGAGGGTCTCCATGCCTCTTTCAATCTCAAGGATATGGGAGAATTATCATATTTTTTAGGCCTGGAAGTTAATCGTGACTCTCGTGGAATTTTGTTATGTCAGCATAAGTATATTACAGACTTGTTGGAAGATCATCAGTTCTTCGACTGCAGGCCTGTTTCTACACCTATGGAGCTTAATCTACGTCTCGGACGTGATTCAGGCACATTATTACCAGACAGTAAGGTTTATAGGAGCATTGTTGGGAGCCTGATTTATCTATCAGCTACTAGACCAGACATTTCCTATGCGGTCCAGGTAGTCAGTCAATTTATGGATGCTCCTCACTCTGATCATTTGGCAGCAGTTCATCGCATTTTGCATTATCTGCAAGGAACACGTGATGTCAGTATCTTCTTTCCTTCGACTGGTGACTTTTGTCTTCAAGCTTTCTCGGATTCCGACTTTGCTGGATGTGTTGATACTCGGCGCTCTACATCTGGCTGGTGTGTACAGTTTGGTAAATCCTTTATATCCTGGCGTTGTAAGAAGCAGGACAAGGTTTCTAAGTCATCTACAGAGGCTGAGTATCGCTCCATGTCCGAGGTCTGTTCTAAACTCATATGGCTCCAACGTCTCCTCCAGGATTTTGATGTGACGTGTTCTCTCCCTCTTAATCTCTTTGTGGACAATACTAGTGCTATCCGTATCGCGGTTAATCCTGTGCTTCATGATCGTACCAAGCATATCAAAATACATGTTCACTATGTTCGAGATTTGGTTAATGCTGGGACTGTCTCTCTTCATCATATTCGGACAGAGGATCAGGTTGCAGATCTTTTTACGAAGTCATTCACCACTAGTCTTCACTGGTACCTGTCGAGCAAATTGCTACTTTCTGACCAGCATCAATTTGGGGGAGGCTGTTAGCGGATTATACAGGCCCATGTTTAAATGCTTTGTTTTTGCTTTGCTTTGTATAGCCCATTTATTGTGCCCATGAAGCCCATGCAGGGGCTGCTCGTGTACGTGGAGAGAGTGGCCCTAGGGTTCGGTTCTTTCTTGTTTCTCGTTGTATATAGGGAGAGTGGCGGCTATGAGTGATGTACAGAAAACATACACAATAAGATCAGTAGCTCGAAGGGTTTTCACTCTTCCGTGGATTAGTCCTGTATTCTCCAGGGATACCACGTAAATCCGGTGTCTATTTCTTGATTTCCTTTTCATTCTCGTTCAGTTCGTCAACATCAAATCCGGATAATCTAACAGTTGGCGCCATGTCATCTGCCACATGTGACAGTACCGAGAGGCAAGAATTTTTTTTCTAAAAAAATATTGAAAATAGATCTCATTTTGTAGAGCACGATGAACTCGTTCTATCTGTACAAAAAAATTAAAATCCGAGTTAAAACGAAGAAGATATGAGTCGATTAAGAAAGCTAGGGAAAATAAAAATGATCTTTAATTCTCCATCCTTAGATCTGGATTTTCTAAATGAAGGTTCCAGATTTAGTTATTGATGGGTGCATGTCAATAACTAAATCTGGACAATGAAGGGTCTAGATTTGACTTTAATTTTGATAAGAACTTGTTATTGTAAATTTTTTACGACAAAAATCCGTGGGTACTCATGAATCCGCGGATACCCAGTGGGTTGGGTTTGAGTTTTTCAAACCCAGTGGATTTTACCCCGGATTTTTTTCACGTGAGCATAAAACTAACATCGTTAACGAACACTAATGGAAGGCAACAGATAATGATCAAATTTGAAATATTTAACTAATTTTAGTGATAACAAATAAAATTAAATATTTTTAGTGATCAAACGTGACGGTTGTTTTTAGTAATGCGATCAACAATCTTCCAATTTACATTATAAATTTTGGGACCTCCTATGGTAACTTGGGTATAATTTCAAGTTAGGTAACTTGTATAGATCTAAACCGTTAAAATCTATCAAACTTAATTTAAACCATTGATTAAAGATATAAAAAATAAAAAAATAAGTAAGAAAATAAAAGGCAACAGGGGTTGCCGGTCACCACTACACAACTTACCATTCTTATTTTTTTTCGTTTCCATTTCAAATTTAGTTGTTTTCCATATTTTATTCTTTCCTTTTTTAATTCTTATTGAATTAGAAGTGTTACGTAAGGCTTCCGTAATAACTTAGATCTTTACGTAACATGACGTTAATGCTCATTACGTAAAGAGACCTTCCATTACGTAAGGCTTTCGTAAAGATATTTTACAACTGTTACGTAAAATATACATTCACTACGTAAAGGTTACGGAATGATAGTTATTTCTTACGTAACAGTTAAATCGGAAGCGTTACGTAAGGCTTCCGTAATGACTTAGCACTTTACGTAACGCAAGGTTAATACTCATTACGTAAAAAGACCTTCCATTACGTAAAGGTTACGTTACGACAGTTATTTCTTACGTAACAGTTAAATCAGTAGCGTTACGTAAGGCTTCCGTAATGACTTAGCATTTTACGTAACGCGAGGTTAAAACTCATTACGTAAAGATACATTCTATTACGTTAGGCTTCCGTAATGATCTTTTACAACTGTTACGTAAGATTATCATATATTACGTAACCATTACGTAATGCCTATTGTATTTTACGTAATATGACCTGTGAAACCTACTAAGTAGCAGGTAAAAAAATTCAAGTTACCTTACTTCAAGTTATGGTAGGAAATCTCTATAAATTTTTTATATAAATGGTAGAACGTGCCTACATCTACCTTTTCCATTATGAAATGAATTGTGCTCCGATTGCACAACGATCAGTACAGTGCAACGGTCCCCAAATCAAAATTTGTTTGTATTATCAACAAACGAAAGTACGGAACTATACGCTCTGTTTGGCAACAAGGGGGGTGCAAATTGCAGGAGGGTGCAAGTTGAGGAGTAAATTGCTGGGGGTGCAAATTGCTGGGGGGTGTAAGTGGATGGGTAAATTGTTGTTTGGATGAAAAAGTAGGGGGTGCAAATAGAGTGAAAAGTAAGTAATTATATTATTTTAAAATAGATTTTAGATTACAAAATAAATTTAAAATTTTAAAATATTATCATAAAATAATAAAATAAATATTACTATATAATAATAAATATACTTTTCTAAAAATAGTTATTATATAATAATGCTCAAATAATAATTAATTATGACAATTGTATAATCATTGATCGAGCGATCTCAAAACTCGAAGCTCAACTTGTAACTGGTCATCCTATATATGGTTTTCGTGTCTAGTTTAATCTTAAATTGTCAAACTTAGTCAAACACGTTTGAATTTGTAAGTTTTAACTATTTAGTCAAATAAACTGAGTTAACCAAACAATTTCTCTCTATCTTTTCCACGAACACCTCGTATCTCTAATTTTCAATGCAAATTCGATTCAACCAAGAGATCTAGATTTGACTTGACGAACATTGATAAACTTGTTTCCAGAGTCAAATGGTCAACCCCAAATAATGTTTACATTAATGATATTTATAAAAAGAAGAAATTGATAATATTAATTATTATATAATTATATATAACACAATTAGAAAAACAAAATTCCATAATTACCCCCTCCCCCTCTCTTCCTTCCTTCCCTTGCACCCCAATTTGGGGGGTAAGCCGAAACAGTAAATTTGCACTCCCGTTTTGCACCCCCTACTGTTCCAAATTAACCAAACAGGTGCAAATGTGTTGGAAACTGTATTTACCCCTCACATTTGCACCCTCCTCCCATTTACCCCTCTTCCCAAACAAAGTGATAAGAAAAGTCGATCACGTTTCTGACCAGAATCATACGTCCCGACAAAAGAGATAAAGCACTTGCGCTAAAAGTTAAACAGATTAATCCCACATTTTCTACCTTCCTTCATATTACTGTGTATAAGTTACAATTTCCATTCCACAGTCTCTTCTTGCAAAGAACTAAAGAAGCTCCTCAAACAGAGCACGAAAATGGCAGCAGCATCCACCCAACCGCAGCAGAACGAGTGCTCGGCTGCCTACGACCGTCTCGCGGAGCTCAAGGCTTTCGACGAGACCAAAGCCGGAGTCAAAGGTCTGGTCGACGCCGGAGTGACTCAGATCCCTCGCATCTTCCAGGCTCCGCCGCACCTTCTCGACAGCGTGGACAGAGCATCCCCTGTTTCACCCGACGATCCGAACTTCTCCTTCCCCATCATCGATCTGGAAGGTGCGGACCGCGACCCCGCGAAGCGTAAGCAGATCGTCGAGAAAATCAGGGATGCATCGGCGAATTGGGGATTCTTCCAGGTGGTGAATCATGGGATTCCAGAGACCGTGCTGGAAGAGATGAAAGCAGGGGTTCACAGGTTCTACGAGCAGGATGTGGAGCTGAAGAAGCAGTTTTACACCCGGGACAACAAGAGGAAGATTGTACACAACAGCAACTTCGACTTGTTCTCGGGAGCGTTTACCAATTGGAGGGACACCACTCTGTATCGTATGGCTCCTGACCCTCCCGCCCCTCAAGAACTGCCCGCTTGTTGCAGGTAAAATTGTATTGTGCGCGCCAAATAATAAGCTTGATATCACTTTTCACAAAGTTCAGAGCTTATAAGAAGTTCCCAAATTGTTATATGTAGAGAAATCCTGAAGGAATACTCCGAGGGAGTGTTGAAATTGGGGGAATTGCTTTTCCAGTTACTGTCTGAAGCATTGGGATTGAGATCCAGTCATCTGAAAGAGCTGAACTGCACAAAGGGACTTCAGGTACTCTGCCATTATTATCCGGCGTGCCCTCAACCGGAACTGACATTGGGAGCGTGCAAGCACGAGGACAACGACTTCATCACCGTGCTTCTTCAAGACCATATCGGAGGACTTCAGGTTCTTCACCGGAATCAATGGGTCGACGTGCCTCCTCTGCCCGCAGCTCTGGTGGTCAATCTCGGAGATCTACTCCAGGCAAGTTTCTCCAACTCAAATTATGCGATATTCTTAGTTAGTTGTGATTTTGTTTGTTCTGAACTGGAATGATTAATTAACTTTATTGTGGGAATGCCAAGTGCAGCTAATATCCAATGACAGATTTGTAAGTGCGGAGCACAGGGTGTTGGCGACGAAAGTCGGAGCAAGAGTTTCTGTGGCCAGTTTCTTCTCGACTGGCTTTACACCCAATCCAATAGAATATGGACCCATTGAAGAATTGGTTTCAGAAGACAATCCTCCAATATATAGGAAGACCACGGCAGCGGAATTTAATACCCATTTCCATGGTAAAGGCCTTGATGGGGCTTCTGCGTTGCTGCATTTTAAGCTCCAAAGCTAAGGGCCGTCCTTATATTGGATTTTCTACTAGGATATTGTAAGATATGATAAGAAAGACCCTATTTATTGTGGTATTCAAACAATGTACCTATATTCTGTGGTAATGTAGCACTTGGGAGCTGGATTTAAATGTTTGTGCTTAAATAAACACATATTTGCGTTGTATTGAAAGGGTGCTTACGAAGTTGATGAAACCAACAGTTGAACGTATCGGAAATCAAGTTACTCATTTATTTTGATCAGCCTTGTTTACATCTAAAATTAATATTGTATACATGATTTTGGGAGTTTAGGGGGGTTATTATAGCCTCCCCTGGGCTTAAGGTAGCTCCACCACTGTGGTTACGTGTGACACATCTCTCATCCTGCCAAAGTGCACAATAAGTCCTAAGCAAAAAGACGTATGGTTGGTAAGATGAGAATAACAAAGATGACAAGTATGGAGCCACCAAAGTCCTTGAGGCTGCCAAAGAGACCACGATGACAGGTGACAATGTCATTGAGAATTCACCATGGAGGTAAGGCAACGAGACATCAACCCATCTAGCCAGGTCAAGACGAAAAGACTTGATTAAATTTAACTCAACGTCAACATGCCTCGACGTCAAGCACCAAGATGATGTTGATTTGACACAAGACCAACAATTACCAAAGAGCTTATATCTTTTGGCTATGCATAGAAGAAATGAAGACACAAGAAGGGTTCACAAAATTACAACTCTGACACATATGTAACATTTCATCTTTTCTTTGTAAAGTGGTCATAATGGTAGTTTATGAAGGTCTTACTTATAGTAACATAACGTAGATTGTTCCCGAAAAGCTATGAATTAGCCTTGTTCGAAGAGTTGTGGATTGCGTAATTTTCGTTGTTCAATAAGTGCAATAAGTTATATTTTCACGGAAGTTTTCTTGTTAGAAAATAAATTGGTACACCCCGTGGGACACTTTTTGTTTGATTGGATGGTTGCAAGATGAAGGAATCAAGAAAGTGATGCTCCACTTGAGTTCATGGAAGAGCAAGTAACCAACATTGAATACGACTAGGTGTCATAGACGTACGATTGTAATAGTGATATGACGTCCCCACTGGCGACGATAAGTACTGAAGCATCTGGCATCATCACACCACTCTTCCAACTAATGGCGGAGAACCAAGAGTCCATGCTAGCTACTTTGGTTTGGACACATGCAATATACAACCCTCCAACTTGTTTCTTTAATCCAACATTGCGATTATGTTGAGTCTTGAGTGTATAAGAGGTTCAGTTTGTTTTCTCTGAAGTGTTTAATAAAGACTAGAAAAGACCCGCTCGCTACGCTTCGCGTGGTAAAAAGTAGTTTTAGTTTGTACAAAGTGGTTGGTTAATTCATTTCTTTTGCGTACTGTATTAATTTGATCCTCATTGAGAGCAGGGCAAGGAAGGCAAATTCTAAACAAACTTTCAGCAAGTAGGTACATGAGTTAATAAGAGAGACACCAAATAGTTTTCCGATGATAAAAGGTAAGTGGAATGGAGTTTGAGGGTTGAGATGCAACAATCACTATTCCTGCATATTTGCAGCATCACGATGCCAAACTGCAACAACTTCAAAGCGTTCACGGGTGTGTTTACGCCTAGGCAAGTTTTTGACTTCGAATGTATAGGTACGTTGGATCACAGATTGCAGGAGTCTTTCAATCTCGCGTGCTTCAAGGTCCCATCGAGGACTTGTTTGAAGTAGGGCTGAAGCTGCTTCGTGGCTTATGAGGAATGTGGTATGGTCTGTTTCGTCAGCAACATCAACTGAGATGTAAAAACTGGCCATTAAATAGTAAGCATTAGCATTCGTTGCACGTATTCATGGGCGCATATAAGTTTGTAATTGAACGTCCCTACCTTTTAACCATGTCGTCGTGGAAGATGTTCGCATAGCAACTGGAGCATACATCATTTGAGAGCAGTTCCTCTTTTCGCGGCAAGCATTCAGGGCATAGCCACCGGAAGTATCCAAACCCGTGGTTGACAGCCTGAATTGTTGCTAAACACCTAGAAGTTGCCTTAATAAATGATCACAAAGAAACAGTCAGTCTAGTTTGTTGTGGACTTTGGTCTGAGAATGTTAAGAGAGTGTATGGCGTACAGTAGGTGATGGCTCAAGATTAAGATCCCACTCAGTAGCTAGGTCAAATAGTAATTCGCTGATTGAGTCGTACCGACTGTGTGACTGAATTGGTCTCAAAGGTTCTATTGTGCGATTTGAATCGATGTAGAATATCGGCATGTTTGAATTTGAGTGCCTGCAGCAAAGAAAAGCGATAGTAAAGTGGACGACAATATATTCTAATATACAACAGTGCGAGGCATCATAACAAACCGGAAAAACATTGGTCAATGCATCCTCAGTCTCTGGTCGACAATTAGTCTTGTGCTGCATGTGCTTTTGTAAAGTGGTTTCCCTGGAGTAGAGTAACAATCAGTAATTAGTATTAAGAATGGCATTGGTGCAAAGAGAAGCAGCGCTTACCTTTGGACCATTTGCCAATCATCGAGGTAAAAGTTGCTATAACTGGGCCCTGCCTTTCCTGTGCAACAATGGTTGCTTCGAGTGTACGAATGAATGGTTGGTTTGTGATTTTGGTTAGGACCCGTCGGTTGCTGCATTGCAGGGTCCAGGTTATGAATGAAATTAAAAAAGGGCAGATAAGTATTGCAAAAGTTTTGGTTTGTTGACCATGTACCAGCCATCCTCTAGGATAACCAGTTGTCGGGTCGGAACCATTTCCGCAAAGCCTTTTGCATAAGGTTTGGAGACAGCAACTATGCGGCCAAGCATGTCTTCCTCATATAACAAAAATGAAAGATTCTTATTACAATATGTCAGAGAGTTAATAGGTGAACACGCTTGTACTGTGTAATCGGTACCTGACTTTTGTCTGTTGTCGAAGCATCGAGCCCATAACTCGCCAAAAGGAACTGCCTCGGACTTGTTGGTCGGGTGATATTCGTCTGGCGGCGGCTCAGGAAGAGCTTGTAGGGTTGTGTTTCTGGTAAACCCGAGTTCGATATTGTTCGAGCAACACCGGTTTATCGTTCTTGCTGGTCCAACGTAGAATGATGATATCCTATAAATCTGCCCGTTTTGTAAAACCGGCAGTTCTGATTGCGGAGTTGTCGGATCTGCTTGTGCAACAACCAGTGTACCCTGCAGTGTTGAAGTGTCGAGCAATCATTTTTTCTTCAACGGAGAACAGCGAATGGCCTATACATTACATTGACAGTTAAAAATAGAAGAATGACCTTTTTATCGAGCAACGAATGATGTACTTCATGATTTCCTGTGAATAATTCCTGCCATGTATGCAGGTGCCTGACCTCAATTGGATTTTTGGTGTAACCAAGGTGCAGGCAGCGGATCTCTGTTGCTTGGCTCATGACTGCAACTCGGTCGCTGGAGTGGCGCAACTTTCCCCGAGTGTCAAGAAGCGAGCTGATAAGTGTGCCCTAGATAGGATCAGGCCAGGTTTATCGGGCTGGTTGTTTTTAGCTAGTTAGGCCTGGACGCGTTTGGTCGGATGTTCGGCCCAATACAGTTTTGTGGGGGGAAACTATGATTTTGATGGGCCTCATTTTGCACGGCCCATAATTGTTTTGTAATTAAAGTCTGCAGTGATAAGGATATGGCACAAATTCGAACCAATTGTGAAAGGAATATATGTCTCTACTATATTGGAAGAGAGTTACAACATGTTTAAGAAGCAAACTGACAGAGGAACTTGTTTCAATGGTTATGTTTGCAGACCCTCGAAGTACAAAATGGATGCAAAGCACAATTGTAGTCAACTGTGAAAGATTGGTGTTGTATCCTTGCTGATTCCTGAACTGTGTAAAGGGAATAAAATATATTAGGGTAGGAAACATGCAGCAATTTATAGTTTTATCATGAAAGAACTAGTCATGTAAGATTACCAGCTTAAGGCAAAAGTACATCACGTCGCCTATTGCTTTGTGTGGTGCAACCTCATGTTCTGTCAAGTTGAAATCAGGAATGGTTAACAATGAAAAGTATTCGCTGAAGTAATCTAGCAAGAGAAAAGGTAGTACTGAAACAATGCTGCAACATACCTTCCAGCAGCTGGTACAGCAAAGCATGATGCACCGCCAAGGGTATCAAATATTTCTGCATAAACAATGTTTCTTGTGTAGCCTGCAGGAATATGGTCTTCGTTTTGAATGAGAAACTTCAGGCCATTAGCTGATCTAACTCTAGAAACAACAACCTATAATTGCCCATGGCTGAACACCGGCTTCGGAAGGAAGACGCCCACACGATCCAATGTTTGTCCTTGACTCTTGTTGATCGTCATGGCGTAACAAAGACGAATTAGGAAACTGTCTCCTCTTTAGCACGAAAGGCCAATTATGATCATTTATGTTGACAATAATTCTCGGTATGACAACTACTGACCCATCATATGTGCCACCCATGATCAGTCCCTTGATTACATAAGTGGACAGGTACGTCACCATGATTCTTGTACCATTACACAAACCTATATCTGGATTGAGGTTTCGTAGTAACATAATTGGTGCGAATATTTTTAGGCTAATATCATGATCAGGGAATCCACTGAAAGATAATGTGTTCAGGAACTCAGTAGGATATTCAGCGTCAAGTCTGGCACAATCATTCGAATCTGAGTGGATCGTGTCGGCACTAAAGTAAGTGTGTACCTTGCCCGGAACTTGCTGCAACATATGCTTGTTGATGTCGGTAACATTTTTGTTTGTTGGTGTTACAATCGCCCTGCTGGTTAGGTATGAAGCACGGTAGCTTTTTGCCTGAAAATCAGTGTAAATTTCGTCACAGATTGTTGACGTCGGATGCGAACCCGGCTGAAGCAAAAGTGGTTCTGGTATTGAAATCCAATCAGAAGGCTGGTTTTTGTTGAAGCTCTTAGTAGGGATCTGGCCATTTCCAATGCTAAGCGTCCAGTCAGCAAAAGACATACCATCAAATGTCAACTGCTGGTTAGGAAGGTCTGAAGTAACCCTCATATTTGTCGACAGATGGAGGACAGTACAGTAATTCCAAAGATGTGAACGTGTGAGTGAGGAATCTACACTTTCCTCTCTTCCTGCATTCGGAACAACAGGAAGAGTTTGGCGAAAATATCCCCCCAACAAAACGGTTTTGCCTCCAAATGGCCTGTACCCTTCACCTGCGAAAGGAACATTCATGATATCGCACAAAGTGCGATCAACAGCCTCGAACGATAGTCTATGGATCATCGGCGCCTCATCCCAGATTATAAGATCCGCTTCAGCAAGTGTTTTTGCGAGCTGCGTACCTTTTCGCACAGTACAGGTAGATGTTTGATCGATATCCAGTGGGATTTTGAAGCGTGAATGAGCCGTGACTGCATTTGGTAAGAGCGTAGCAGCAATTCCTGAAGAGGCAACAACCACACATTTGCGATTGAGTTCACTTACAGCAGCAACTAATGTTTTGTAGAGGAAGGTTTTCCCAGTTCCACCATGGCCATATAAGAAGTAGAATGTTCCAGTTCCACCTGTGACAGAGGAAAGAATCTTTTCAAAGGCAGTTGCTTGCTGCGGGTTCAAGTCTGAAAACACAGGAGGCCTTTCTATTTGGGCCGATGACAATGGAGTTTCCCTGGCAACCTGTGAAGGAAGCTTCAAGTGGCTAGCATCGAATGTTGGAAGTGGAAGGCCAAAGTGGGATAGGGAAGATGAGTAGGTTTCGAGTAGCCGCTGTAATTCATGGAGCAACAGTTCTCTTGGAAGTTCGGGGGGAAGCAAAGCATTGTTAAACCGAGCCTCCTTTTGACACTGATATGTAATGTCTTCGGATAGTAAGTCCCAAGTTTGCTCAAAAAGAGTCCTTGGATCTGCAAGTTCACAGAACATAAGCATGCAGACAAACAGATAGCGCAGCAACTTCGACATTCCCCATTGTCCGACTTCTCGAATTACTAAAATCCATTCATCATCATCCGCAAGGAGGCCTAGTTTTTGGCAAGCTGCTTGGAAATTTCTACAAACGACCCCGTTCACAGTTCGCAGGTCTACAAAGCTCTGAGCTCCGCGACCTTTGTAAGTAGGTGTCGAAGGTAGAATGTATCGCCTGAACCAGGATGTATGTATGCCATGCGGCCTAATGAGAATCCTTGCTTGCGTGGTGACCAATCTGCTTCCTTGGGTATCCAAGTATATTTTGTTGGTATTTCAACATAGAGTAGTGACCGAGCTGCTGGATCCCTACGGTTTAGTTTGAACCATTGTGTCAATGTTGTTGATTCAACTGTTGTCCTTGCAAGGATGTTATCAACACGCTGCCTCTTTCTGTATGGAACCCTGTGTTGGCCCTCAAGATGAACACAAAGCCTTTGGACCGAAGGCTTACGTTCATGGAGTGAGAATTCAAAGATCCTCCAGGAAGCCTCATAAGAAGACAATGATCTGCAGTCTAGATACTGTTGAATCTCATTGACCGGCAGATTTGCTGTTTGTGGCGCCCCAGAAGAAGTGGCAACTGCTACGTTGTCGGCAACAACCATAGATCTGTCAGGGCCCTTTGTTATGTATTTGAAGAGATACTTGACCAATTTTCCTTGGTGGCAGACCTCGACATTGATGTATGCCTGAAAAAGGACGCATAGATTCCTGAAATGTGGCACAACAAACCTATTATCTAGCACGGTGCTACCCTTGGTTGCTGTTATCCCTGTGTCACGCCTTTTGTACATGGGATATCCAAACTGGTCCACCGTGGTTTCTGAATTGAATTCTTTTGGAAATAACTTTGTGCATGATCCATCCCGCATACATGGTGATGACTGATTATCATCCCCACATGGACCGTGCAGCATAAAACGTGTAATGGTTTCATAGCCAAGCGGATCTAGAGTTGGATCCGGTAGTTCAGCAGATATGGTAGCATCTATATCCGTAATTGACTGTAACTTGCTGGCACTGTCAAGCCACACCAAAATATGGGCATGCAGCAAGCCTCTCTTTTGGAACTCGACCATATGAATTGCTGGAAAAACACAATTCGTGTGAAACCACTTGCATGAACAAACTGAAACAATTGTGACATACCATGAAAATGGATCAAAGTAGGGAATGACCACACAATGGCGTAAACAGGGTAAAGAGAAGGATGCTTACATGCTACCGTTGGACCAAAGTAATTGTTGCGGCAGATTTCATCTTTAAGAGCATTGAGTTTCATTTTAAAAACACGTGCAACAACATCAGGTTTCAGTTTGCTGCGGTCACTACAAACATCTTTGAAAGCTTCTGTGATTTCAGGCCACTGAGAGTTGCATGTGAATGTAATAAACAGGTCAGGGTTACCATAATGCTGACAAACAGCCATAGCATCCAAATAGAGTTGCCGCATGTAGCGTGGGCTGCCAGTGTAGGAAGAAGGTAGTATAACGTGGCCCAACTCGTCAGCTGTGATTTCACCATTGTCGTATGCTTCTTGCAGGCGTTGGTAAAGTTCCGACCGAAGATCTTTCTGATGAGTTCGTAGGTAAGCCAGGCGATTTTGTTCGATTGTGGAGAAAGCATCAACCATGTAATGCTGCAATGCCTTGCCACCACGCATAAGTGTTTGACCCTCATTTGTTCGATGCTGCAATCTGTATGCATAGTATTCGCGCTGGGTAACTTTCTTTCGCTGCAAGGTTTCTGGTGCATTCTCAAGGTGGTATGGAATGTTAGTGTGAAATCCATCCTCTCCATAGGGAAACAACAAAGGGAAGTGCAGCGCTTCAAACTTGGGGTTGAGGCTTGTGATCCTTCTCAAACCTTCCACACAATGGTCAATTATGATGTCTCTTTCTTCTTTGTCGGCCACAAAATCTCCGGGTATCAATCCTGCAAGGTCTGTTCCTGTTGGTAAATCATATTGGCGAGAGGAATTATCACGTGCGCCAACTATCCTGAGCCTGTGGTTGCTTGTTGACGGATCATGCAATTCCTGGCGAACCCTCCGAAAAGTGCGCACCAAATCATTAGTGTTGTCAAGCATGTCCATAAGACCAGTGACAATTTCTGGGTTAAGGTTTCTTTCGGCTGAAGCAAAGTTGGCCAAGCGGTCGTTAAGTTCAGACTGTGGGTCGAACACGTAGAGCTGCGAAAACTTAGGACGGTGACCAGCTGGCGGCATCAAAGAACCCATCAAATGATAGTTCTCTCCACAGATGACGAACGAATAAGGCCCTCTTGACCGAGCAACGCGTGGATCCAATTTGGCGCCGAATGAAGTTAAGGCGAATGCTGCATTATATGAGAGAATATGATCCCGGAAATGCGAAGAAAACGGACCCTCATTGATCCCCAAGAGTTGTTCGAGGTAAGGTGGAGTCGGTTTCAGAAGAGGTATACGCACTCGACCCTTCTGGCAGCACAATGGAAAGATGGGGTTTGAAGTCTTCTGGTGACGGTTAAGTCGTTCTTGATACCAAAAAGCCGCTCCACAGTATTGGCATGTTTCTGTTGGGAGGCCAAAGAGGAGAATGTTGTCGACATTGTGTCGCCTTGATTGCGGAAGTGATGTAGTTTCATTGGCTGAAGTTGCAGTGAGATGTGTCTGTGGCAGAAGCTGGGCATAGGTGTGTCCGTGGTCGCTGTAGTAGAGATCGTTGGGTTCAGCTTGTAAAGGAGAATCAGCATCTTGCAAGAAACTGAAAGCTCTGGAGCGTACATCAATTCTCGATCGTCTAGTGGCGTTTGGAGTTAGTTGCGGCGGCGTTTTTGGAAGGAAAGTGGGATCAGCATTGTTCCGCCGCCGTTTCTTTGGTGTTTGGGGTGTAGGGTGTGGAGCGGCAGCAGGCTGGTTTGTCTGTAAAATGGCAAGTCACGATGTAAGCAAAGGAAAGGGGAAATTGCATGACCAGAATAGCGATTAACTGTAGCGAACTTCCGTCGGTGGGTACGCTTTAAATGTAGGCATTGTAAAGGGAAGGACAAAACATTCTGGAAGCAACATTCCAACAAAGAACTATAAATGCAGCAAATGGCATGGTAATTTGTGAGGAAAATGAAAAGACACGCGTGAGATCAAAGCATTACCATGTATTTGTGAGGACTGTTCAAAATGCAGAGAATGTTGGAAGCATCTGGCAGGGTACTGGGATCTCCACGAATACAGTTTGTTGGTGAAAGGGAAGAAGGTGTAGTAATTACGTTGGCTGGAATGGGGAGGTGTAAAAGTAAATGCAGAGCAATGACAGTAGGCTGTGATGGTGGAATTAAACAGGAGGAAGTTTGGGGGTGGGTGGGGGGGGGGCGATCTGGAGGGTGAAGTGGTATTGTTTACCAAGGTTAACAAACCACAGTGAAATGTGGGTGATTAGGGTAGCGTATATGCCAGTTCCAAGGTCTGCCCATGCTCTGACTTGCATTTAATGCACGAACGTGGAAGGGCAGTTGGTGACAGGTATGGACCGCTAGGTAAAGCTTACTTTAGTTTGTGTTTTTTTTTGTTTGACTAACTGGACAGCAACTTAGTGGCATCGTTAGTTTGTGTTTACGCTTTTATCAGTGATGTGGCAAAGATACATTGGTGTTTGAGTTTGTGTTATGTTATGTTGGGTGATTGAACATCGAAGGGTGGGTGTATCAGAAACGAATGCATTCTGGAAATGGTAGTGAAATGAGAAACATTCATATGAACCTGCGGCACGGATCTGTAACGATAAAGATAGGTAGCAAGATAGTACGAATCTGGCTAGGTAGAGGAAGGATTCAAAGTAGTTTAGTTACAGACTCGTAATTAAAAACCTGCAAACAAAATGCACGTAGGCCAATCCACAGGCAAGGAAGTTAGGGCAAAAGCACAGTTTGGTTTGTTTGCAACTAAAAACGGCGGTGTTTTAAACAGTCAAAGAGTCGAGAGGAGATGGTGGACAGCAAGGCAAGGTAAGAGTAGCTAGTCCTCAAACAGGCACCGCTTGGCTGGTTTCTTGGATGACAACAATTTGGAAGACCCCGAAGACTTCTTCAAAGCAGAGTTTGTGGCAGATTCAGTTGCCTTGACAGAAGGCTTGCGAACACGTTTCGAGCTCACAGCGGTATTCTGGTCATCTGTTTGGAGTAGAGGAGACAGCTGATCATTTGGAGCAGGTTGTTGGCGTTCCTGTTGATCAGGCGGGATTCTAGAACCTTTGAGAATGGCCTTGCCTTTGGCCAAATGACCTTTACCTCTTCGGCTGGTGGACTTGAGGCTGAAAGTAAGATGGGAAAAGGGGAAAACAAAGCAATCAGGAAGTGATCGTAAAAAGCAGCGTTAGATAAACATCTTAGGTTTACAATTGGTTGGCTTCGAAGCAAGAGTCTGAGAAAGGCCTGAAGACAGACTACCAGTAACCTCCTTTGGAATGTCAGCTGTTGTCGGTGATGGAGGTAATCCCTGAGCATGAGGTGTTGCACGGGAGTTCGTTTTCATAAAAGAGACCCTGCAATCATCACTGGTGGGACTTCCCGGTGCTGTATCTGAGCTCCTATAAGGGAATGTGAGGCAAGGACAGCGAAAAAAGTAAGGAAGGCAGGAATGCGGAGGATGTGATGTAGTTGGAGTGCAGCTGCGATGATAACTTGTAGGCGACGTACCTAGGAGCAGCAGAGGTTTCCACAACCTGGCCCTGTCGCCTAAGTCTGCGCCGCCTTGGCTCTAGATGGGTAGCTGGCGGCGGGTGGGCAGAGTTTTGCGGTGTGTGCGAGATCGGGGCAGCAGTTTCAGTGTCCGAGTTCCAATCATCCAGTGAGATTTCCTCATGCATAGGAGTTTTTCCTTTGGCAAGCATGCTGCATAGGGAAGAAAGTATAAGGCGATGCGTTGTAAGACACTGTTTGTATGCGCAAAGCATGTTACCGCAAGCGTTTAGCTGTGGAGGATCTGTTTCCAGCAGAGCTTGCTGGTACCGAAGCTTTCCTAGCATGCCAAAAAAAAACATGAATGCTTTGGTTTTGATTATCAAGCGTGAAATGTGCTCCAGTTCCCAAAACTACCTTGAATGTTCTTCCCCAAATGTTGTTTGTGGGGCAGTTCTGGGAGTGGTTGGAGGAATTCTGGAAAGTAGTTAAAGCAATTTGTAAACGGCAAGTGGTACCAAATGAAGTTTAAGAACTAATTATGTATCCTGAGAGATGGAAAAAACCTA